GAACACCAAGCCGTCTCACGGTCCTATCCATTTCCGTGCCCCTTCTAAGATCCTCTGGCGTACCATCCGGGGGTAAACTGTTCTAATCATACACATTTATGTCTACATATCTGTTTGTTTACTTGTACATCACAATCACAAACTTTCCAAAAACAGTTATGGTATTGTGTCTCCCTTAGTTTGAACCAATGCGTATCCACTCTTCTCAAATTGATTAAGTTGTCTGTGATAATCAGAAATCAATCTAACTAGCACTCACTATATTAGTGAACTTGACTGGAACATTGCTTATTTTTTGTGATCTGAATGGAAGAATATAAGGTTGATTAGAAAGATCAGTTACAAATGATTAGCTTTTGCATATTATCATATGGTACATCGTTGTGTTGTCTTATGTGATAATTCTGTTGCCGAACAATTTGATTTTTTGTTGTTTTTTTGGATTGGTATTCTTTGTTACCATTGTTCTGAGCTTCTTGTTGTATTTGCAGGATGATTCCACACAAGACTAAGCGTGGAGCTGCTGCTCTTGCAAGGTTGAAGGTTTATGAAGGGGTTCCTACTCCTTACAACAGGAAGAAGAGAATGGTCATCCCTGATGCTCTCAAGTTAGTACCTTTATCAGTTCTATATCTACTGTTTTTATATGTTTCTGGATTTTTTCCTGAATGGAAGATTTTTCTCTCAAAATAAAATTGCAGGGTTTTAAGGTTAACAGCTGGACATAAGTACTGCTTATTGGGCCGTTTATCTTCTGAGGTTGGATGGAATCACTATGAAACCATCAAGGTGAACTTACATGCTTCCTTATTTATTAATAGCATTGTTTTATTTCATGGTGTATTTGTTTAAACACTGTTTCAGATAGTAATTGATTTGTTTATCTTGTGGTGTTATTGCAGGATCTTGAGAAGAAGAGGAAGGAAAAGGCTCAAGTGGTGTATGAGAGGAAGAAGCAGATTAATAAACTGCGCGCAAAGGCAGAGAAGGCTGCAGCTGAGAAACTTGGGCCACAACTTGAGATCCTTGCCCCTGTTACCTACTAAAGGTTTTGATCTTAGTTTCTGTCTAGGAATTTTTGTGTTTGATGCTGGAGACTATTTATATCTTTATTTGCAATATGAGAATTTATCGTTTCAGATTTAATTTTGTGGAATCAAATGTTTTTGTTCAAATTTATGATACTTGGTTTTGCAAAAAAAAATTGAGGACATCTTAAAATCTTGTGCTTCTGGTGCTCTATAGTTCTGATTGGAATGCATGAACTCTAGGCATTTTGGTTTAAACTTTGAATTGCTCTGGTCTTTGGCTGGCCTTTTTTTGTCATGATATGGTCTTGATCGGACAAACGAATGAGTTTTTTTTGGTTCATGTTCGTTTGTAAACTTGTTAAACGAATAAAGATAAACAAATACAAATGAACAAACTTGTTAAACGAATAAAGATAAACAAATACAAATGAACATATATGAACATTTAATATATTAATATATAAAAAACAAATACAAATGAACATATATGAACATTTAATATAGTAATATATAAAAAACAAATACAAATGAACATATATGAACATTTAATATATTAATATATAAAAAAACAATCGAGCACATATGAACATAAATAAATATAAACGAACAATACAAACGAGTGCGAACATAAATAAACAAATGAGACCATTGTTCTTGTTTGTTTGTTTAACTAAACGAATAAAAATTTGTGTTTATTTTTGTTCATTTATTAAATAAACGAACATAAATGAACCTTTTGTTTAACGATTTACTAAATAAACATTTAGTTTGTTTACAACTCTAGGTATTGGTGTATAAGTTTTTGACAAACCAGTGTCTTAGAAACTTTTGAATAGCTTTCAGGTTAAGCATTTAAGTTGATTGAAATGGCTTCTGTGTTGTAAGAAACACTTCCAGTATTTTTGTATACAAGGGAAGGGAAATCTTGCCTTACTTGTCATGTTGTTTTCTTATGCTTAAGAGCAACATGCATTTTTACTCGTTTATTTTTACCGGTCCCCTTCTTGTTCTTGTATACATTCGCTTCTTTTTACTTGTAACAAATGTGTTAATAAATGTGAATAAACTTTTTATTTTTTTTTATTATAAATGTTGGATCCCAAGCAATTAGTCCAAAGCTCTCATTCATTTGATCCTTACCAAAAGCCGAACACCCCAAGAGGATGGGGCTGCCGAGAATTTGCACAAACCGAGAAGAGAGATCGAGCAAGAGAGGGACTCATAATGAGCAAGAGAGGGGAGGGTGGCTCCTTATGAGGGTCAATTCTCTTCTACTAGGGTTTATCCCTTTTACCTTCGGTAATTATCTTTTATTTGGTAAGTGAGTTATCATTATACTTAAAATAGGAGATAATGACTAACAATAGATATTTATTGTTAGCCGATTGAGCTTAATTAGTTTCAAATTAATGCATCATAACTTTTGTTTTAATAAATCATATATTGTGTGTAACCAAAATTGACACTGTTAATTATGGAAAGTTATCAATTTGTAACCATGAGTATATTTTCAACGGTCTACACATGTCATAGCAACTGTATGGTCTTTACCACCTTTAGCCTAACAAAGTGTACATCATCTAAGACTACATATGTACTCGTAACCTAGAGGTATAACAATTCTTAGTAAGTGATAAAATATTACTTTGTTGTGTAATATCCATATGAATGTAAGACATGGAAGTATGTCAATCAAACATTCAAGATTATGTTTTTGATAGAGATTTGTGATGACAAACAACGTACTACACTATTGATCCATTATCAACTTAGTTTGAGTATAACCGTACATTTGATGTCAGCACAAATTATCGTGGGGACCCGATATATCGATCCCACCCATTCATCATGTCGTACCTAGACATTCTCATATGGCTATCGGTTATTGACAATGTTGGAAAACATCAAAACACAACAAAATACAGAACTAAGAATCTCATGCATTTCCATTTGAAGACTTAATCTCCATTAAGTACACATGAGTATGTCACAAAATACTATCTTATAAGTGGGTTACTTGAATACTTAATCTCCATTAAGTACACATGAGTATGTCACTGTCATGTCAATCTCTATGTATAATTTACTAATAACTAATATTCAGTAAGTTAAGTACACATGCAAATTGAACACAATAATAAATTAATGAAGTGATTGGAATCCATCATATTATTAAGTCTCAACATAATAATCATCAAATTAGATAAAATTTATAATGTAATGCCTATCGACCTGGTATGAGTATCATGTTTGGTCTGCGACAATGGTTTGGTGAACATACTGGCAAGGTTCTCTTCCGATGTGACTCTGTTGACTATGATGTATTCTTCTTCGTTAAGTTTTCGGACGTAGGGGTAATTCTTCGGTATATGCAATGTGCGTTTTTTAGCTCTGGGTTCTTTAGTCAAGATGATTGCACCCTCATTGTCACAGAAGATCTCAATAGGACCCTCTAAGTTTGAAACAACACTGAGATCATCAATGAACTTGTTCATCCACATGGCCTCTGTTGCATCTTCATTAGCTGCTATATACTCATCCTTTGTCATCGATCCGCTATTATATCTTATTTGGAACTCCTTTAAGTCACCGCTCCACCATTCAGTAAGAACACAAATCTCAACTACGGACGAGAAGCGTCTCTACTAGTCTAAAAACTAGCATCAATACAACCCTTTACATTGCGCTCTTCCATACCTCCATAAACCAATAACATGTCATTTATCCTCCTAAGATACTTAAGAATGTTTTGACATCAGTCTAATGATTTTCACCAATGTTAGCCTGATAACAACTCGTTATGCTCAAGGCACATGAGATATCAAGCCTAGTACATATCATGGCGTACATGATTGATCCCACGACCAAAGCATATGTAACTTGATTCATTTTTCTAGCTCACTAGAAGTAAAGACTCTAAACTTTGCTCAATGTCATACCATGTTGCATAGGCACACTCTTTCTTAGAGTCCCGCATCTTGAATTTCTTCAAGATTTTATCTATGTAAGTACTTTCGCTCAATCCAATGATTCACTTAGATCTATCTTTATAGATCTTTATACCTGGTATGCATGATGCTTCTCTCAAGTATTTCAAAGAGAAACAATTCTCAAGCCAAGTTTTTAAACTTTGCAAGGTTGGGACATCTTTTCATATGAGTAGAATGCCATCGACATATAGTACAAGGAAAACTACAACACTCCCACTAGCTCTGATATATACTCATGACTCATCTTCGTTTTTCGGAAAACTAAACTCTTTGACTTCTCATTGAAACAGATTTCAACTGCGAGATGCTTGTTTAAATCCATAAAATAAACTTGTCAAGCTTACTTACTCTATTTTGATATTTATATCGTACAAAACATTTTGGTTGTGCCATATATATACATCTTGTGTAAATTTTTCATTTAGGTTTGCCGCTTACACACTAATAAATATGGTGTACAACCAATTCAAAATTAGTTTACAAACATTGAGTCAACCGGGACTGCTAGCAATATCGAGCCCAAATTTAACCTCAAAATTATATTTCTTGTAAGGTGTTTTTTTGCCGACTTAACCAATTTTAGTGAATCGGTGGCCTGATTTATTTCGGTTGAACTGATCGGTCTGACTTTTAAAGATATATGACCCCACCCACCACAAATATTGTCGACTATTTAACTTTTATCCGTTTACTTTTAATTAGGGAATCTCATGTTTTTTCTATTATAGATTTGCCACTGTATTTCTAGAAAGAAAAATGGTTTAGCTTTTGTTTTCTTGATAATTGATTTCTTTACGACTTGTTAAATCCAAAAGTAACGGGGGAAAGGGTGAAACAACAATCATATATAAAGAAATATTGCCGTTGGTTTAAGTATCCTATGCATCATTACTTCATTAGTCAATGTTCACTTTAAGATAAAGATCAATTTCAATAGTCACTCTCTAATAAAATCCATCTGAAGGATTTATTAAATGTAATCAGAATTTAGCTTTCAAAACAATCACTTTATCCACTATAATTGCTCAAAGAAGCTATAGTATAAAAATGATTACAAATGTTCAATCATGCATGTGCTATTTTGAAATTTTGTATCCGTTAGGACTGTTACCATGGTATTATTGTCCTGAAATAGGTAAATTTGAACATTATTTTATTATCATACTTAAAAAAAATAAAAAAATAAAATACTTGTTTCAACCTAATAACCGTCCTGCCCAATTCGATTGTGTTACCACCTTCGGCTCGAACCAAACAGAATGCCGACCAGAATAACCAACTCAAGATGTTCATGGACAAAGAAATATAACAAAAAAATAATTATTTGAAAACAAATAACTAAAAAGGTATAAAATCGTTTTCTTATAATCATGAAAGTGGTGGTTAAATGATTGCGATTGTAAAATTCCTCAGCACGTCCTCATGATCACTGTCCCTCCCTTTACTCATCCCTTAAAAAAAGGTTTGAAAATTACCCAAATAACATGCACTTAACTTACTATTTTGAATCCAATATTAGTATATCCAAGGCAATTACTAATAATAGTTATCAAGTATTCACATCACTTCACCATAACTAAATACTACTTTCTAAAAGAAAAAGAACAGAAAAACCCAATTGCCCATGTCTTAAATTAAGTTGTGGGTGGGTTGTGTCTTCCATCACTAGAATTATCTGAATCATATGGAATTCCATTGGTGCTTCTTCACTAGCTTCTTGTTCCTAAGCTACCCCAACCTCATTTCATCTATACAAGAAGGTGTACATACCACTATCGCCTTCATTTTTCTTTAAGACATTTGAACTCTTATCTTCTTTTATCCTATAACTTATTTTTGTAACAGGTTTTTGGAGTTTATCATGTGGAAGAGCTACAAATTTCATTGATTCCTCCAACATTTCATGGGTATCAGACTATGGATACATCACAAAAGGGAACACCACAATTCTTGATTTCAATGACTCGATTCGTTTTTTCCCAAATCCTAAGAACCGAAACTGTTATAAACTACCAATAAACTACACATATTCATCCTTGACTCTTATTCGAGTCAGTTTCATGTATAAAAACTATGATGGGCTTCAACAACCACCAATGTTTTCTATTTCTCTAGGAACAGCTGTTTCTGCTACTATTAACCTATCATTTAAAGATCCATGGGTAGAAGAGTTCATATGGCAAGTTGACAAAGAGACTCTTTTGTTATGCTTGAATTCCATTCCGAATGGTGGGATTCCGGTCATTTCTTCAATTGAAATCCGACCGATGCCTCAAGGAGGTTACTATAATGGAATGGAAGATTTTACAAACAAGTTGCTTAGAAAACACTTCCGGATCAACTGTGGTTTTACTAATGGCTCTATTAGGTATGTTTTTGGAATGAATGGAATCTGTGAAACCTGTCGTAGGTATAATGTATTCGATGGAATGGAATTCGATAATAAAAATTGAATAACTAATTCTTAAATTGTTATTTTAATGTGGGTGATTTGGTTTTTTAATAAATAAAAGGAAGAATGGAATTGAATTCCGCCCATTTGTCATGGAATGAAATCTCAAAATTCAAATTCCCGGAGAATCCCATGTGATTGGAATTTGAGAATCTATTCCATTCCATGATATGTTCGGCCGACAAATGGACGGAATTCAATTCCATCAAAAAAGGAATATGAAGGAGCCTGATGGAATTGAATTTCGTCCATTCGGCCACCAAACACTCCATGGAATGGAATATTGAACTCCGATTCCGTTGGAATCCACAAACCAGACATACGCTTATTATTATTATTATTTTTTAAATCTTGATTGGTTAATAAGTAAGATGATGTTATAATTGTAGGTACCCTTTGGATGAATACGATAGGATATGGGATCCAGATGAAGATTTTTCGCCTTTTCATACATCAATTGGATTCAGTAACCCTGAAACTTTTGATACATGGAGCCTCAACGAGCGTCCTCCTCTACCCGTTATTCAAACGGGTAGAGTTTTGGCTAGGCGAGAAGGGTTAAGTTACAATTTTGCCCTCCAAAATCTTGGAGATTACTATCTTGTTGTATATTTCGCTGGAATTCTTCCGGTTTCACCCACCTTTGATATCTTGATTAATGGGGAAGTTGTTGAATCAAACTATAGAGTAAAAATCTGGGAAATTGGGAGCTTGTATTTCTTAAGGAAAGGAATCCAGAACTTGAATATTACTTTCAAAGATATTACTTTCTACCCTCTTGTCAATGCAATTGAAGTGTATGAGATAGTAAACATACCTCCCGAATCCTCTACAACAGTAGGTTAGCCTCCCTCCACCCAGTTGTACGCTGTAGAATGTAGAGTACAACCCTCTGAAGCATGTTATAATATAACATGCCCTTTTTTGCAGTTTCAGCTCTTCAAGTTATTCAGCAGTCCACTGGGTTGGATCTTGAATGGGAAGATGATCCATGTTCTCCAACAACCTGGGAACATATACAATGTGAAGGAAGTTCTGTCACCTCATTGTAATAATAATAAAAAAAACATGTGTCAGATTTAAAATTTTCAAAATATTCGAATATTTTTTCTAAGTTTTTTTTTTTTTTTTTTTTTTGACTTATTGGTAGGGAACTATTTGACATGGAATTGAGGTCAATCAGTCCTACATTCAGCGACCTATTCGATCTAAAAACACTGTGAGGAAGAACTTATAAACAGCAATGCAAGCAGTTCAATTCAGTTGCTCTTTTTTTTTTCTTTAACTCTTTTATTTCATTATATAATGCAGAGATCTTCATAATACATCACTTGTAGGGGAAATCGAAAACCTGGGTGGCTTAAAGAGTCTTGAATATCTGTAATGATCAACGCACATCTCAAGTTCAGATTCTTTTATTGTTTCTTGAATTTAAGGCTATTAATCAAGAAAATTATGGACTTAAAAAAATTGCAGGAACCTGAGTTTTAATAAGTTAATATCATTTGGGACTGATCTGGATGGCTTAATCAGCCTTCAAGTTCTGTAAGGCTCGTCCTTCATCATATTTCTATGATCATTTATCAAAAACAACAATCTCACTGTTTTTTTTTTCTGTAGGGATTTAAAGAATAACAGTTTAGAAGGTTTAGTTCCTGAAAGCCTTGGAGCCATGAAGAATCTTCACCTATTGTAAGTTACTTTCTTTGTGATTGGATCAACTAAAAATCTTTGTTCCACTGATTTCTATAATTTATTAGGATTCTGGAAAACAATCATTTACAAGGCACCATCCCAAAGGCATTGAACAAAGATAGTCTTGAAATAAGGTATGAAGGTCCTGATTCCGACATTCCAAGAATCGCTGTTTCCAATTCCGAGCATCTCTAGAAACACGAACTAACACATTGATTGTGTGCAGAACATCCGGGAATCTGTGTCTAAGCTTCTCCATATCAAATTGCTATAATACTACACCAAATGCTTCGATTGATGCACCAAAAGTTTCGGTTTTCGACAAGAAGAAGGAAAAACTTCATAGCCATTTAGCAATTGTACTTGGTGCAGTTGGAGGAGTACTTTTTATTCTTATTACCATATCTATTTCAGTTTTGTTCTTATACATAAGGTCAAGGAGAAACAAAGAACAATTTAAAAAAAGAGAAGGTGAGCAAGCTGACCTGGAATTGAGAAACTGGACTGCAGCAAAAACCTTCTCTTACAGAGAAATCAAAGCAGCCACTCGCAACTTTAAGAAGACTTTAGGGCGTGGTAGTTTTGGGTCAGTCTACCTCGGGAAACTTCCAGATGGAAAACAGACAGCTGTCAAAGTCCGATTTGATAAAACAAAACTCGGAGCTGATTCTTTCATTAATGAGGTATGTTCAACTTCAACATCTAAACTTTGTATGGATAACCCCGTTGAATGTGTAATGATGTACGTTTGGATACATAAAGACTTTCTTTTCTGGAGAAAATGACCGTTTTACCCTTGTATTTAGAAATGACATTGAAGAACAAAGAGTGTCTGTATGTATTAAGCCACTCTGTATGCATTAAGTCAAAAAGAAACAACAACCTATTCTGACAAATTGAAGGATTGATTTTCCAGGTGTCCATTTTGTCTTCAATTTGTCACCAAAATCTTGTAACTTTTGAAGGATATTGCGATGAATCAAAACAGCAAATACTGGTTTATGAATATTTACCTGGTGGATCATTGAGTGAGAATCTTTACGGTATGTCTGTTACGTTTTATAAATCCTAGTCTTGTGTTGTATCATTTAAGTTGCTCTTTTTTTGTTTTGCAGGAGCAAATAGCAAAAAAATAACATTAAATTGGGTGCGTAGACTTAAGATTGCCATTGATGCTGCAAAAGGTTTGGACTACCTACACAATGGGAGCAACCCACGGATCATCCACCGTGATGTGAAATCAAGCAATATACTTTTGGATGCAAACATGAATGCTAAAGTTTGTGATTTTGGCCTATCAAAGCAAGTAACTCAGGCAGATGTGAGTCACGTGACAACTATGGTGAAGGGAACTGCAGGGTATCTTGACCCCGAGTGAGTTTCTCTTTTGTCAAAAAACCATGAAATTGTTAAATAATAACAACAAGGTGATGTTCTAAGTTCTATTATTCTATACTTGTATTTATATGCCAGATATTATACCACACAACAATTGACCGAAAAGAGTGATGTTTATAGCTTTGGAGTTGTTCTTTTGGAGCTAATTTGTGGTAGAGAACCATTAAGGAGAACTGGATCACCGGATTCATTCAATTTGGTTTTATGGGTATTCAAAAAAATTCTCCTTTTCTATTTACACTTATGTTAGGTCAACCTTTGACCAAAAAAATTGGAAATTTTGGCAGGCGAAACCCTATCTTCAAGCGGGTGTATTTGAGATAGTGGATGAGAGCTTACAAGGAACATATGATGAAGAGAGTATGAAAAAAACAGCTGCAATTGCTTCCATGTCTGTTGATAGAGATCCATCACAGAGACCAAATATGTCTCAAGTACTTGCTGAACTTAAAGAAGCCTACAGTATCCAACTATCTTATCTTGCAACTGTTGAACTTCCCACTTGAGAGATGTAATAACACTTAAATTATATGTTTAGTATTTATTGGAAACATGTTGCACTTTTTGAGCATGATATGTAAGAACTGAGACAAATCTAACCAGTAATATAAAGCACAAGTAAGAAACAGCCTTGTATATAGCTTCATAGAAGATAAAGCATGTATAGAATTACAAATGAAAGACAGCTCTTGTGGTTTGAAAAATGAGCTATCTAAATCTATGATCTATCTACACATCAAATTTTACTTCTTTCTAGTTTTCTTATCTACCATCTATTATCTATCATCCTGAAAATAATGTAATGTTTTGAATAAGTTAATAGTAATAATATCTATCTAATCCTTGGTACCTCATTAATTGGTAGCAAGGTCAATTAGAGTAACGCCTTCTCAGGTAAAAAAATAGTGCTGTTATAGCTGCCACAGCATATGGGAACACAGTCCATACTCCCTGTGTAATCACAAAATTTATTAGCTTACTTTGAATGGAAAAAAGGGAAAATTACAATATATATATATATATATATATATATATATATATATATATATATGAGGTAGGGGTAGGTGTAAGGGATAGATTCTTACAACTACTGTAGCAACAGTGGCAATGGCAAATACAGGGCGTTCTCTCAGTAAGAAGCCAATTGCAAGCTGAGATTCACAATAAAAATGGAGGCATCAGATAACCAAAAATAAATAGATTACAATATCCTTATTTGGATGAAATAACAGAAAATCTATAGTTTCTATACATGAGGTTTTAAGTCCACTAAATTATTATATTAACTGTAAAAATATGGCAACCATGTGATGAGATAGAAATTATGTAACCTGAATTGGAAGAGTAATCAAGCCACCACAACAAACACCAGCAAAGAAACACTCAGGGGATATATCCTGTGATAAATGAGAAATTGTTTTTTTATGATATTGAACAGATTAGGGTTATATAAAAACCTATGTTCACTAACCAGTGCCCCAGCAAAAAAGGCTGTTGGATTTCTCACTCCTAGAGAAAATCGTTCAACTGCAAATTAAAATGTAAAGATAAAGAGTCACAATCGGCAATTTTTAACAATTGTTTAGAAATACAGATTTAAGAAATGGCATAAATATAATAAGTAACAGATGAATCTTCAGAAAAGCAATTTTACATAATTGTGAGCATGTTAATAGGAATTATTAGAGCATAACTAAAACGTACCAAAACCAATGAGATTCCCATATCTTTGAACAATGTTGGTAAGGCCAAGTGCTTTGTCTTTGCTAATCCCTAACTACAGTCATTATATAAATTTAATCACTTAATTTCATTGTATATGTCAAGAAAGATGCATATGAAAGTACAAAAGGTATCTAGGAAGAAAAAGAAACCTTTGAATAAACATCATCAGATGCACCGGATTTCTTAAAAAGCCTCCCAAGGTAAAATGGTATCATATCACTAATGCAAACTCCCCTGAGATTTATTTCAAGATTACAGTGCAAGTTTTGCAAAAGAGCATGTGAAAAGTTTGACTATTTATATAAAGATACATGCACTAACCAGTATACCCACAATACAGTGGACAAAATGTGTGGGGCATTTCTAGAAAATGATTCAGCCAAAGACTGTCTTGTCCCATCCAGTGACAACATCCGTGCTAGTGAGATGCCCACCTACAACATTCAAGATCACATATTTTATATATATCAACATGATCACTTTCACATAACTTTGTTTAAATGTATAGAAGAAAGTCACACACCCATATATTCAATGCCTCTTCACTGATAAAAAGTCCACATCCTGCAGCCATCAGCAGCCAAAAATAGATCCATCTGACATGAACAATATAAGTAAAGATTTATACATGAGTATGACAAAAGTGGATTTATATTACTTAAGAACACAATAAGATTAGACATATACCCTGGAGTGTATTCTGGAAGTATGATTTTGTATCCAAAAGCATTGAATGAAAAACCAACAGCAGAGGTAGATGAACTCCCAGCCAATATTTGAATGCCAGAAGATGATCCCTGATTGGGCTGTTTAAGACATATGGACAATAGTGTGATTGTTGCAGCTACACCCAGGAGTATTGCTAGTTGTGCCAGCAATGAACTCTTAGTAACAGTGGTTTTATTTTGTTGTTGACTCCCAAGTATCACATCAGCAGTTTCATCTTGTCCCTCAGAGTTGTTTATGTATCTTGTTGCGTCAGTATATTCTGCATCTTCTCCCCGAAAGCTTCTAGTACTAAAGATAATGAACGATATGTTAACATACATACATGAATGTAATCTTTAACTACCAGTTAAAACCCTTGCTGAGGATAATCTATTAAAAGTTAACAGAGAAATAGGTTTTTGAGCAAAATTGAGATGAATCAGACTATCAACGACAATACTAATCTTAAATTTTGTTTCCATTCCTTTGTCAAGTGCATACAGATGCTAAATCCATGCAAATTAAAACTAAAAATCCTTGAATTTAAGCCAAAGCAACCATAATGAACAGCGAACGACGTGACATAAGACTAAAAGCTATTAGAATGCAAAAGGAAAAAGTATACCATCATGGATAAGTATACATGTGCATACATAATGTCACACAGAAATGATTACCAGAAAGGTGAACGGTTGAACAAATTTTGCGTACTGTTAAGAGCGAGTTTTCCGTCATGCGTGAACAACCTACCACCAGACAAACTGATATTACTGCTTGAACGCTTATTGGACCACAACTCAGACGACTGTGGTAGGCGGTTGCGGTGGTGCAAAGAGGAGTTTCCAACGGAAAGAACCACCGCCATCGACGAATGCGTACGGCGGAGCTCAGGTTGGTGGCCACCGTGAAATATTTCCTGCGTAGTTGAGAATTGAGATGACGATTTTCGACGGGACTTTGGGAAGTCTTTTGAAACGTGTGGTCGAGGCCTCCTCCTTGGGTGTTTATGGGCCGTTTAGTCCATGACACTTGGGCTTCATTTTGTTGGCTGCTGTAGAGGTGCACAAAAAATCCGGTTCACGAACCGAACTGGTCACTGAACTGAAAACCGGTCCACCTCTGAACAGGTCCATTGGTGAACCGAACCAACTTCGAACTGAACCGCCGTTTTTCATCTATTCGCATTTCTAGCCGTTGGGATCGGTTTACTCCGAACCGGTGCAGCGAACCGATGTTGAACCGGTTATGCACAAACCACATATGATACACATATATACCTACTGTTTTAGTGGTTTTCTTTTTTAATATGTCTTTTAAAGAGTCTAACCATTCTTACCAATTAACCATGCATATATTACCCATAATATCTCCAAAAACAAAACAAACATTGCAAAAAAAAAAAAATAGCAATCCCATCGGGTTTTTTTAACAGGTTTGAGGAACCGGATTATGGTGAACCGTTTTGTATAGGATTGGATTATTTTGGTGGTGAAGCGGTTTGAAACCGAATCGGTTTAAGGGTGAACCGGTGTTGACTTTGTTGACTACAACCAAACCAGTCCACCGAACTGAACCGATTCGGAAAAAAAAAACGGTTTGTGCACCTCTAGGTTGTTGTTTGCAAAATGCAAAGTGCAAACCTCCCATGGCATATCCCAAATCTTAATGCACAAATTTGCAATATTTTAAAAACCGTTTTTTTAATTGAACTGGTATGATGACCGGTTTCTGGTTTAACCGGTTCGACCGTCGGTTCAAAAGGTTTCTAGAATTTTTATCTTTTTCCCTGTTTTCCTACACACACATAGACATCCACAAGTTTAAACAATAAAAATACACATAAATACAAGTTGTAGATCAATCCAAATAAATTAAAAAACACATGACCATAAGTTTACATTAATCCACGTACATCAAAAAGAGAAAAAATATATATAATACAAAAACAAAATATAGTTTGTAACGTCCCAAAAATACCGAGTAAAAATTTCATTTTAAATAAATCAAAACCATTCATTCATTAATCCAAAAGACGAACATAGTCAAAGTATTCTCAAAACATCAAATTAAATCATAAATAGTTAAAGCGGAAGATGCAGTGCGATCAAGTCGGGCCCTTCCTTTTGAAACCAGAAGTACCTGAAAACATTTTAAACATAAAATCGTAAGCACAAAACTCAGTGAATTCCCCAAAATACCTCATACCATACAAATAACGGGCCTTGCCCAATGAGTATAACGAGCCTCGTTGTAACATCTTGATGTCAAGGTACCTCTAATTTCAGTCCTTTAATTTATTTATGTGCATTTTGGCCCCCTTAGTTCAAGAAAGTATGCAATGGAACCCTAATGGCATTATTGTAATTTTTGGGCTTCGGAGTACGCCAAGCATACGTGGTGTACGCTGAGCGTACTAGGACGCGCCCTAGTACGTTGGGCGTACTTGCCAGATTGGGAAACCCTAGTTTTTAGGGTTTGGCTAGTATTTAAGCATCCATAAGTCTCATTCTTACCCTATTTTTCAGACTCCGTTAGCAAAAACGTGTTATCTTGTAAACCCTAGCCTCATTGGAGACCTTGGAAGGTTGAGTGTGGAGTGTTCCAAAAGAAGAAGAAAGTGGTGGTAAAGCTTGGAAGCTTGAGGAAAAGCTTGGATCTGGAAGTTTTACAACTTTCTCCATCATTTCAAGGTACAAATTTCATACCTTGATGGCTAGTTTTCTAGATCTTGCTTATGTGTTGATTTCATGTTCTTTTTAGTCCCAAATGTCTCATCTTGAGCATGGTATGTTCTTGACGATTTGAGTTGTCCTTTCAGACCCTAGGAGGGGTCCTAAGTCATAAAAATGAAGTCCCATTGGCTAGTTTTGCTCCACGCATCTTGTAGAAGGTCTTAATGGATTAAGACCTTGAGTTAAGATCTTATTAGGCATGTAAAGTCATAAAGTTGGAAACTTTATGACTCTATAGTATATTTTGGCCATGGATATGAAGTTGGGACGTAAGAGCTTAAGCTATTAAGCTCTTAACAAGATTTTTAGGCTTGCGAGAGTATGCCCCACGTATTCGGAGTACGCCCCACGTACTCGGTCAACCACCCTGTTGGTGGTCAATTTGTGAGGCCTCGTGTACGCCTTGCGTACCTCAGGAGTACGCCCAGCGTATGCACCCTGAGTTGACTCAAATAGGTTGACTCAATTGACCTAGTGGGTTTGACCTTGAGGGTATTTTGGGTATTCCGGGATTTTGATGGAATTGGTCAATTGGTGGAAATAGGTTTCGATTAGAGAGCTGATATTCAGATTCGAGACCTCATCAACTTCTTTTCAGTTTGCGAGGTGAGTTTTCCTCACTATACTTTTGGGTCGAAGGCACCAAGGCCTGCCCATTGGATTGTTATTGCTTTTTGGTATGTTGTAGTAATTTGTTAGACTTGTATCCTGGTATATAAGATGATGCTATGCTTAGGGATCTGTAAGATATGTTTGATTGTCAGTTGACTGGTTATATATGTTTATTTTCTGGTATATGTCGACATATTGTGTTGGGTTGGGTTGAGGTTGTATTGCTCTGTATGGTAGCCAACAAACCCTGGATCATTCCAGTCTCCAGATATGAGTTGAGGGTCAGGTAGGGCATGCCAGAATCATACTGAAGGCTCATGAGCATTCCCGATACGAGCTGAGGGTCGGGTAGGGCATGTCAGACTCGTACTGAGGGCTTGACGGTATTCGGTCCAAGGACTGATCTGGTCGGGGAGCAAGCCAGACATAAGTTGTGGGCCCCGAGGGCAATCCAGACTTATGCTATGGGCTCAGGGGTAATCCAGACTTTTAGTTGTGGACCCATTACATGTTGTTATTGTATATTTATGTTATTTGGCTAAGCGTTGGCTTACAGTTGTGGGTTATGTTTCAGGTACTTCAGATGACCGCGAGAATGCGAAGTGTGACCATACACATCCTCATGTTTTGGACTTGTGATTTTGGGAACTCTAATGTTGAAATGCTTTTGAAAACTATGTTTGTAAACAATTTGTGAAATTGATGGATTTTTAAAAGTTTAAATTTATCATGATTTTTTATGAGTGTTACAAGTTGGTATCAAAGCATTGGTTTGAGTGAATTAGAGGAACACTCGTGTGAATCCAGTCTCAAACCAAGGAAAAAGATTTTAAAAATGATTTTCAAAGTGTTTTCAAAATAATCAAGGAGGATACGATGTGTACGATTAGCCGGAGCCAATAAGTAGACCCCAAATTACCACACTGTTATTTGATTTGTGATATGTTAGAACAACATGCTAGTAATAGGCTAGGGATCTTCAGGAATCACATGATAGAATTTGCCTGCTTATATGATGTCTAATAGCCTATGGTTCTTCCTTATTTGAAATTGACTTCATTATTGTAGTTGCTTAGTGTATGCATCATGATTATACATAACAAAGATTCTATAGCCTGAGAATGTTTGGTTTGACCTTATTTCCTGTTCTTGTTTGATGAAGGGATTAGGGTAGGATCAGATATTCGATTATCTATAGGATCCAATGTTATGTATGATTAGCATACACGAGTGTTGCAGGGTTGGTGGAAGTTTCATGGATGAGTTGTGTGGAGTCATCCAGCCAATTTTGAAATGTTAGCCTTCCTCTAAGGTGTGAGGATTGAGTGTGTGCGTATGCTATTATGTATTGTTAGGGTTGTTGTGATGATCTGTGATACAAATACGGGTAGGTGTGGAAGGTAGTATGGGTATGTACTATTGAAAGCACATGACCCGTACGCGTCACAGGGAAGTCACAACCCCTAGGGCTTTGTTGGGAGTTGGTTCCCCTGATATGATATGCGTGTTATCTGATATCTCCCTGGTTCATTTTCAGTATGGTTATGACGAGACGATTTGAGGCTGGATCCGGATCGGGATCGGGAGCTGGCAGTCAGGGTGGGTCGGCTGTATCCGAGGATAGGATTAGGTAGATTCTTCAGGAGGAGGTTGTTTCTCACTTTCGAGCATAGTTTCCAAAGATGTTCGGGTCTATCAAGACCGTCATGGTGGAGTATTTTGATGAGCGTTATGCTTCTTTGTCTAAGGCTGTTGTGGCTGCAGCCACCGCAGCCGTTGCCGCTTTTAGGGTTGGTGTTGGGAGAGTCTTCCAGTATCGGGACTTCAACAATACGAAGCCCCTAACATTTTATGGATTTCAAGACCTGATCATAGCCATGAGGTGGCTGTCTGACATTGAGGGGTGTTTCTTCACTTGCTCTTGCCCCGCTGACCAGAAGGTCGGGTGTGCTCTGAACCTTCTGAGGTCCGGAGCGAAGTATTGGTGGAGACTTGTGACTGGCTCGTATTCTTCTGAGCAGAGACTTGTTGTGTCTTGGGAGTAGTTCTCGGAGATGTTTCGTTCTAGATATGTTATGTTGGTTGAGCGTGATAGGTTGGCCCAGGAGTATTTGGATCTGAGGCAAGGGACGGAGTCGGTGACGGAGATCACCAAGATGTTCACGGAGAGGGCCATGTTTTTTTCCTGAGTTTACTACTTCTGAGCAGGCTCAGATGACCCATTACTTGAGCATGCTCAAGACGGATATCAGGCAGTTTGTATCCACTCACCGTTATGGTTTTTTTGTTGGAGTTGCAGGAGGCCGCTAGGCAGCGTAAGATTGAGATGGAGCTCCAGACAAAGGAGCAGAGACCAGCCCCATCGCAGTCGCAACCTGTGCCGAAGTGGTTCAAGGCCGCTGATGTCAGATCTGGGGGGTCGGAAGGGCCACACTTGTGGGAAGTTCGACAAGGTTCATGAGGGTGCTTGTCGATCATCTTCTGGGTGCCACAATTGTGGCCGACAAGGCGATATGGCGAGGGATTGCCACCAACATGCCCCAACACTTAGCTCCAGGCTTTGTTACCATTGCGACCAGGTTGGCCATGTGACGGCCAACAACCTCT